GATTGTTGTTGGGGGCAATATGCTGACTCTGTAAACCGCTTAGAGAGGGCTGAAAGCCCTATGAAGCGGTATATAAGTCTAACTATTGCTATTGCGTTTTGCGATTTTTCTTGCCACGTTTGTTAAGGGAATCACTGCAGTTGTTAAATGAATCTGGGTTCTCCTTTGACTTTGCTTGTCAGAAGGTCGCAAAAGGATTCCTGAACACTGCAATGGTCACAAATACGAGTCAGTTGTCAAGCATCTGAATGTAAAGCATGTGACCACTGGGGACGCCGTAACGGTTGTTAAGTATGGTCATCGGTCGCTATTTTCAGTGCCGCTGTGAGTTTGAACGGTCACTGAACGAACTTACTTGAGGACTACCTGTATTTTACCAAAAAGGGGATCACAAAGGAAGGAAATTTGAATTTGCTCTTGTACCAGCTGTCATTTGATACCCAAGCAAGGTCAAAATGTGTTCTGAGGTCCGGGCATGGATTTCAGCTACAGCTATGAGAGCCCTTCAGATCATTTGATAAGAAAAGAGTTCCTGGAAATAAAACAACAGGCATATGCTGTACATCAGTCATTTGCTGCTGTTGGAGGCACACCGCCAATGATTGCACTGAAATGCTAAGAACCTATTTACTATTCCAGGGCCAACCTTCACCGCTGAAGATCATATTTCTAGAGTCTAGAGAAGAGATTTCCTGTTGTTTTGCAAGCAACTCTGGTCGGCATCTTGAGAGGCAAAATGCTTTGCTATGCTGATCACAGATAACTGAGCAGGGACTATTTTGCCATCAGAAAACCTGTCCTCTTGACCATGTTCACTAAACCTTGAAGCTCAACAGTTACCAGCTGTGAAAACCTACACCAGCATATTGCTGTGTATAACTAATTTTTGGACAATTGCCAGGGTATCAAAGGAATTCTAGGTATGAAAGCTCCAGTGTTGGGTTACGACCGGTACGCCCCGTTAAGGGCGTACCAGTGCCTGCCGGGAGCACCAGGTACCGTTCCGGTACAGTGCTCCGGAGGGCCCACCTGCCTGCTCACGTTCCATACCAGCATTTGAGCTCTTCATGGCTTCCGCGCACGGTGCGTACGGCCAAGCAACTGGAGCGTGGCGGAGGCGTCACGGAGCATCGCAGGTGGTAAGTACGCATGTACGGGCTGCACACATTCATATGGTGGACACCTGGCTCCGTTGCACCGTACCGGTTGCACCAGGATCCGGAACCCACCACTGGAAAGCTGCTTTCAACGTAAGGAAGACTACAGATGCCATCCATTAGCAATAGCAATAGCACTTAGACTTATATATCGCTTCACAGTGCCTTACAGCCCTCTCTAAGTGGTTTACAGAGTCAGCTATTGCCCCCAACAATCTGGGTTCTCCTTTTAACCACCTCGGAAGGCTGGAAAGCTGAGTCAACCTTGAGCCTGGCGTGATTTGAACTCCCTGGAGTGAGCACTGAGATTGTTAGCCTGTAATTCTAAAGCAATCTCGTTGTGCTCAGTGCTTTTTTAAAAACCAGAAACAGGAAGTAAACATTACTTTTTTTTACCAGAACAGGAAGTAAACATCATGACCATGGAATACTGCAAACAGCCATTAATGTGGGCCATTTACTGAGCATCCAAAATGCAGTCATGTGACTATGGGGTGGGTGGGAGGGAGGGAATGACATCAGAACTTCAAAACTAGATCATCAGTGCCTTTTTTCAGGATCTGTTGTAACTTCAAATTGGTAGTAAGTCAAGGACTACCTGTAACGTGTATCTCCAGAGTTCCTTAGTAAAGTGAATGTGTTTCCTTGAAACTTTTAAATGTGTATTCCCCTATTTGCTGGTTATTGAACCCAATAAAAATACTTGGAAGATGAGTATAAAAGGCTGAGTCAACCTTGAGCCTGGTGGGATTTGAACGGCCAAATTGCAGTCAGCCGGCAGTCAGCCAAATTAGCCTGCAGTACTGCACTCCAACCACTGTGCCACCGAGGCTCATCCATTACATGTTTCTCTTGCAGTGAAAATAATCAGTCAGGCTCACTGGTTATTGGCCAAAAACAGATATGGAATCTGGGCCAATACTCTCCTGGCTTTGCACTCCCTACAGATGGAATGTCATGTGCTTGAGTTGTCAGAAACTGGAATTGTACTACAGATTAATATCTCCAAATGCTCTCTCTGCAGGAATGTTCCTTTCCCGATAAGACCAATAATGCTTTTTCCCAAATGCCTGATCAAATCGCAGACATTTCCTTCCTAAATCAGAGCCTACTTTTTTAAAAAACAGACAAGAGACTTATTGATGACTTAGAACTAGAAATGCAATTATGGACTTACCTGTTGTGACACCGTGAACCACGCCCTCTTTGGTCTTTGATCCTAATTATCCAAAATAAAAATAAAAATAAAAATCAGTTTCAATGGGAAACTGAGTGGAATGAGTTTTAGGAAGCATAAGGATACAGTTCAAGAGTTCACACAAGGTGTTGATCCTAAGTTCAACACAAATTTTGTTTTTAATAAAATAGACAAGGTAAAGTTAAAGTTTCCCCTTGCACATATGTGCTAGTCGTTCCTGACTCTAGGGGGCAGTTCCTGACTCTGTTTCAAAGCCGATGAGCCAGTGCTGTCCAAAGGTGTCCTCCGTGGTCATGTGGCTGGCATGACTAAATGCCGAAGGTGCACGGAACGCTGTTATCTTCACACCAAAGGTCCCACCTATTTTCCACTTGCATTTTTTACATGCTTTCGAACTGCTAGGCTGGCAGAAGCTGGGACAAGTAACGGGAGCTCCCTCCGTTACGCGGCACTGGGGATTAGAACCACCGAACTGCCGATCTTTCTGATAGACAAGCTCAGCGTCTTAACCACTGAGCCATCGTGTCCCTCAATGAAATAGTAGCCCACACAATAAACTGCAAATATATAGCTTAACATCAGGACTTCATTCACACAAAGAGAATTGTAGTGTTCCAATTTATGGATGCAAAAAAATTCGGATGCCTGCATAAGCCTTCCATATCGAAAAGATGCTTTAAACAGTTGTTTTTTGTGCATTTGAATGATATAAGTGTGCTTAGCTGCTTTATGGTGACAGATGCAACTTTCTTGGCTTTTAATTGCTGCATGCTGTGAAATTAAACAACATCTATAGAAAATTCTGCTTTCGCACTAGCTGGGAAGCATGAATCATACAGCTGGGCCTACAGTTGGGCATAGCTAAATCTACTGGCTCGGTTTCTTTTAATGACTGGGATTCCATCAAAACAACCTCTAAATAAATCCGATATAAATCTATTTTTTCCAATTTGACTCCCCAAATTAGCACATTATTAAAGTGAAGTATGGTAATCTAAGCCAGGAATGGGAAATTTATACTTTTCAGGAGCATCCTTTCCAAAACATCCACGTGTATCCCTTAAGATTGTACCAGTAGTAAAATAGCTGCATTTTGTTGTTTTATCGTTAGAGAAGTAACCATTTGGTTATTGTTTTTCAATTTTTCAGAATTTTAGGGATGGGGATAAAACTGGGAAATTACTGGGAGGGAAATTCATTCATAAGCTCCTCTTAAACCATAGAGAAACTGTTTACATGGACCTTAAAAAAAAGTGGACTCAGCCTTTGGTATGAATGGAATGATTTCCCCTTTCTTATCCTTTAAAAAGAATAACAAAGATGGACCAACATATTTTGGCCATATCTTTCCTGATGACATCCTCACATTATTAGATGGCCTCCTCTGAAAGGTTGGTTTTTTTAAAAAAAACAGATAAACAGAGTTGGAAAGGACCTTGTTGGCCATCTAGTCCAACCCACTGCCCAAGCAGGAGATTCTACACCATTTCTGACAAATGGCAGTCCAATCTCTTCTTGAAAGCCTTCAGGGATGAAGCCCTAACACCTTCTGAAGGCAACTTCTGTTCCATGGGTTGATTGCTCTCACTGTCAAAAAAATTCTCCTTATTTCTAGGCTGAATCTCTCCTTGATCAGTTTCCATCCATTATTCCTTGTCTGGCCTTCAGGTGCTTTGGAAGGCCCTCAAACATTGGAACACTGCTATCATGTCTCCCCTGGTCTTTCTCTTCACTAGATTAGCCATGCCCAGTTCCTGCAACCATGCCCAGGTCCTCAGATAGTTGCTTTCCATATATGGGCAACTCTTTTTCTCAACAGTAAACCAGCCTAGACTATAATCTGTTCTCAGTTGCAAATGAAAGCAAACATATGTGTCCCAGAATAATGTTGCAAGATCCAATCTGGATTCGGTCACTATGACCAGAGGTTTAGTCTTCTGAGCTTTCAGACTCATGCTGGAGCCAATCCTCGGGTAACTTCTCTCTAACAGAAAGTCTGCTTTGGGCCATTCTATGTATAATATTAATGTAGTGCCTGGTTGGGCGGCTTTTTAGTTGTTGATTGGGGTGTTGATGGTCAGCTATTAAGTCAATGGCTATTGTTTTCTTGTGCTGCCAAGCACTCGGTTCCTAAGCACTTGATAAACTTGATAAGAAATCAGCACTCCTGTTGACTGACAAGCAGCCCCTTTCCCAGCTCCAATCATTTCCCTGTCTATTTTTGTCCCTGCTCAGCCAACAATCTTAGTAGATGCAAAATTGAATGTATGTCCTTGTTTGTTGCAATGTGAGGCTACCAATGACTTTGGATCTCCTTGTCTGACTCCTTGTTTCTGTTCTTGAATTCTATTCTCAGTTGGGTGAGGAGGATATGATCTATCAGAGCAAATTCAAGTACGGGTAAATATTAAGACACACGTGACAGCAAAGTTAGGGTTCATCAGTGTTCATCTGGGTTCAAGTTACATCTGTGTCTGATGATCTGGATAGCAACCATGAATCTACACCCCACAGAAGTAATGCATCCCTTTTGAATTTCTTTAAGATTTCTTCAAGGTGTCTCCCTGAAGAGATGCAAGCAATCCACCAATACAACAGTTACTGCATTTCTACTTGGAATAAATATTATTATATCCAAAGTACATGCACTTAGCAGAAGCTTTAGCTATTTCCAATTCTAAGAGTTTGCCATTCAAACAGCGCAAGAAATGTAACAATGTGTTTGGTTTAAAGGAGGAACCTATTACCACAGGTCATCTTGATTGCTCATTCTGTACAGAATAGCAGCACGGAAAAGAAATTCGGATTGCTGTCATGGTTAAAATATTGGATCGAGACCAAGGAGGCCCAATGTTTTTTCTAAGCAACTTATCTCCTTGGATTGTTTTGGGGAAGGTAAATTGGAGAAAGGAATGCAAGGAATCTCACTTTTGCTTCCAGGACAAAAAAAAATGAATAAAAATCTAAAGAATTCTACATATACATATACAAATTGAGAGCGCAGAACATCCCATGTTCCTAATGAACCTTGAATCTGAATGAACCTCCAAAGTCTCTCTATAGATGCAAAAATCTTAATTTGACTTAAAAATTGAATTATATCTGTAAGGGTCACCTGTTTGAGCCAACAGCTGGACTGGAAGACCTCCAAGAAGGGAGGTCCAAATCTGTTTTTCTATGATTCTGTGATGGTCTCCTGCTCCAGCAAGGGGTTGGACTATACCAGTGGTTCCCAACCTTTTTTTGGCCATGCCCCACCTAAGCATCTTTAAAATCCTGATGCCTCCCCTCCCATGACCTATAATTCTTACTTTACTCAAACTGTAAACTCTACACATGCGGAGGAAGCCGAAAAGGCCAATACATTGGTTTGAACAGGATTCAAATTGCCCCCATTAAAAATCAAATTGCCCTCCCGTGGGGCCTGGGTCCCACATTGGGAACCACTAGAAGAATGCCAAATTCCCTTCCAACTTTATTGCTCCAGGATTCTAGATTTCATTCAGTTTCATTCATATTTTCTTTCTGTCTTGGCTCCACCCAGTTTTTGACATGGAGTTCCTGATTTGCCAATCAAAGGCTCTGTGGACCTTGGCTCAAAAAACAGCAACATTGCATACTCCAGATTTAGGGTCTCACCACTTACCCATATAGAGGACTCCTTCTTTTGTTTTCCCAGCTGCTTCCGCCACACCTTGTTTGGTTTTCTCTGCTGCTGCTACCATTCCTTCCTTAGCTTTATTAAATCCTTTCATGAATACGTCCATGGCCAAAATATGTTCAGCGTCCACAACTGAAAAGATAGGTAACTTTTATTTAATTCGTTAAGGCATTTAAGAAAGAATAGCATCATGTTGTTTAGGAGGGAAGAACACATCTATCCATCCATACATGACCATCTTGGTCTAAAACTATGCAGATGGTTAAATATGGAGATAACCAAAGCATCAGGGAGGGGAAATGGGACAGAATCATGCTTACTAGAACCACTGCCCTTCATGTACATAATCAACAAAAACAACTTGTGATTATTTCCTGGGGACGTATGAGTGGCTTCCATCAACCAGGTATCTGTTGCATGTTATCCTGGCAGATTGCAACTGAGTGCAATATCTCTTTAGAGAGGATTTTCAGGTGCCCCCATTTCCCAAGGAGATCCACCATCCTGCAGCTTTTTAGTTCCTTCAGGGTAACAAGGAAGATCTTTTCATTTTGGTGTAATTGCATTATGCTTCTTTAAATGGTTTAATTTTGCAAACATTGATTTAAGGGTTTCTCGTTTAAAGGGACTGTTCCACAGTGGTGTTATTTGGGGGGGGGAGGTGTTATGCAAAGATTATTGAATATTTCATGTCCTACTTCATTGTAGCTTTAGTTTTCAATTGAAAATATTTTGCCCAGTTCTTTAAATGGTAAACTCATACCATCTCTACACCTCATTTGACCCCTAGTGACTACAGTATCCAATGATGGTTGTACAAAAAAGCCAACTTCCACAAATAAAATAGAAGCACCTATATTAGATTCAGAGGTTCATTCATTTTTTTTGATATTCTTGGAATTAAATCACCAAGGGAGTCAAAGGACCGATGCCATATCATTACACTCACATATTATATACTCATACACTACGCCATTGTTTCTGTAATCCTGGTGTGCCAATAAGCACAAATGGATGACTTCATGCAGCATGCTAAACATAAAACCTTAGTCCAAAAACTGGGCTCATACAATCTGCTTAGGTTAGAATCATGATTTAGAAACCATAATACCAGGAAACTGGAGTCATGTAACATGCTAACTCAAAACTCACCCCACGACATTATGGTTCAATGTGATAAGTGAATCCAGCACAAATATTTCCTACATTGTAAATGTTTTTTTAATGAAACCCTTGTCAGATAATATCAGATAATACACTGGAAATGATTGATAAACTGCCACATCTTGGGGTACATTCCAGATGGCACATTAACCACCCAATCCAAGCTAAGTTTAGCAAGAGAATAAGTCTACTAATTTAAATTATATTTTTAATAAGTGAATGAGGCTACCAGCATGTAGCCTATGTCATGCACTGTGACTCACAAATAAACCTCAGAACCAACTTTATTCAAAGACAGAGACATATGGAATAACAACTGGAAGTTGCTCATTCCCAAGTGGCTAAAATGTTAATCTTTAAGATTGCAACAATTCAGTTTTATCCTGGATTCTCTCACCAGTACCCCAATATCTTTTTTTAAATGGTTGGGGGTTTTGTAGCTCATTTGCCTTTTAAACAGATTTTAAAATAAACCGGGGCTCCTGATTCTACCCAAGATGGCAAGAATAAAATGTAAAGCCATAATCTGGTATCACACAGCAAGTTCTTCTGAACCACAAGCTTGTGAGTAATTCTTTTAAAATAGGAGTGTGAACTTGAAGTGGAATGAGGTGATGAGGAGGAGCCTCAGTCTGTCTCAAAGGGAGGATTCTAACATTAGCTGAAATCATGTTCAAACCCACAATATGTTTTGTTTTTAAACAATCCCTTATTGGAAAAACAACCAAAGACCCTTCTGTATCCTGGAAAAGTAGAAGGACCTCTTTGCTTGCTCAGTCTCTTTGATTCCTTTCCAATCATCAGTGCAGTTTAGAAGACAAAAATGCAATAATCATCTAAACTCACAGAGAGAGTCCTTGTTTTGCTTCTCCCTTAAATTACTGGAGAAATTATTAATTTTGGCACCAGCATACCTACATGGGACCCAAGCTAGACTATCAGCTCTGAAATAAATATTTGCCAAATTAATTGGGGGTAAGGGAGGAAGAAAGTAATGGATGGACATTGTAATGTGTGTGTGTGTGAAATGAGGGTTTTTTTCTCCCCTTGAACACCAAATCATTGAGAAGGCAAACCTTCAGATTTGCTGGATTATCTTGATTCACCAAAGCTTCCCCCAGTTTTCCTAAAATGGAGAATTGGCTTTTCCTCCTGAAAGTGGGGGACAATATAAATCATAGGCACTTGCTAATTCCTATTTTTTTCTCTTTGTCACCCACACAAGTATCTTATACAAGAGAAGCAGTAAGATCATTATTTAATTATTTGGAAGACTGAGATGTTTTGCATCCCACATTTCTAGCAGAAAGGGTGCAACAGAATGCCCAATATGCTAGGCCCCCTTCATTCTTTAGAGTCAAGGTCTTTTTCCATTGGCAGCTGGGGAGCCTTAAAGGAGCTGGTCCCTTTTCTTTATATTCCTGCATTCCAGGCTACCATGAGAAGGATCCAGGGCATATTTCAACCATCTGTTGAAGAGCTGCTGTGACAAATCTCAATTACAAACTGGTCCAGCTCTTCCGACATCCTTGAGTTGGTCTCCAAAACGATTTCCATCACTCCAACCACCTAGGTTGGCAAAGATAGCAGAAACTCTGGTCTAGGTCATCTGGAGATCACCATGGAATAGACCATGAATGTTAGCATGGCTTATTTTCACCAGAATTCCAAGGAAACAAGGCAACTAAAAACCAGAAGGAAGTTTGCTTCTCCAGACATGATCGATGCATCAATTCTTCAACGTAAGGCTGGTTCAACATCAAGGAGGAGATATTTTCCCCCGTTGGCCATTCTTGAGATGTTAATGAAGACATATATTATGATCAGTCTTAATTTCTCTTTCTCTCACAACCAAATATGTTTATTTGCCTCTGTGTCAAAGCTTATTTAGGAACCTCAGATACTTCCTCCAAAGTCTTGCCCGTGGGAAAGGGGTTACTCCGAAAGTGAGCCCGCACCGAATTGGCAGTTTTTCTTTGCACACTTACATAATAGCCAGATCCAAGTAACACGGCGAATAAACATCACAGCCAGCAAGGGCGATTGCCCAGTTGCAGCTCCATCCCCAGCCTTTGCCCTCCCCCCCCACTTTATCCCCGGGATAGGCACGCAAACGACCCCTCCCTTAGCATCCTCCTGCGACCCCCCCTCTTCCCAAGAGATCCTTGTAAGTTACTCACCCCTTGCGGTTTATTTGCTCCGCGCCTCGCCTTGCTGGAGCGATCAACAGTTAGTCTTTTACAACTGTTGGATTTTCGGAGCGAAAAAGGAGAGATCGGAAGAAGAAAGGGAAAAAAAACAACCGGAGGGATGGAAGCAAAGCGCCCCAAGAGTTGGCCAGGAGGCGCCCCGCGCTCCACTTCCCGAGGTCAGCACATCCCTGCCTGAGGATCTAATCGGTGGTACCCAGGCTCCGGCTCCTTCCCAGGCGAGGCAAAGGATGTCGCTGGGAGAGAAAAAAAGGCAAGAAGGCTCCCCTCGCGGACCGGAGAGAAAACTGCTCCAACGTGGGGCGGGCGAGGAGGGGGGGGAGAGATAGCAAGCGCGCCTCTTCTCCCTCGTTCTTTGTGCTGGTTCGTCAGGTAGCCAGGCGGCGCCCGCGAACTCCCTCGCCCTCCCCATCCTGGTCCCTCCATCTTCCCGTGACTCCGCCCGGTGCCAAGTGCCCCCCCCCCGCTCCAAAAATAAATAAATAAAGACAGCCGAGCTCCCAGCTCTGGACGGCCTTATTTTTGCCATCCCCGCCCCACCCTTCCTGGAGCAGAGGAAAGGGATGCGCTACCTGGTTGGTTCCTATGCAAGAAGGTTTTGGGGTGGGAAGGGTAATCGGAGGGAGAAATGTATTTGGTGGGTACTGTTGCTTTTAGGGTTAAAGCTCCTCCCCTTGGTCACTAACCACGCCCTTTTGTATCCCTCTTTCCCTATTTCCACCTGTTAAAGCAACAGGCTTATTATTGAAGGAGCCACTCTGGAAGGACACAAAATGCCTTTTTCTTGACTATGGGGGGAAAAAACCCTTGAAGTAAACCAAAGGATGGGAAATTTGGAGGATCCAGAATGGAATGGAATAGAATAGAATTCTTTATTGGCTGTGATTGTCTTCAGTGCATACCTTCTCCCTGTAAATAAAAGATATAAGTGATAAATCATGATCATAGTCATTACAAATACATTCATCATGAATCATAAGATACAACCCTTAGTGATAATCATAAGTTACTAAATAACTAAANCCTTTGGGCCGAGAGGCGCCCGGAGGGACGGGGAGCCCAGCGCAGGGGCGGCAGGGAGCCCGCAGGGGTGGGAGGGGAGACGGAAGACCCCCGGGCTTCACCGCAGAGGATCCCGGAGGAGAGAGGCGGCGGCGGCGGCGGGGGGGCTTCTCCCTCTCCGAGATCTGTTGGGGGCCTCTGGGTGCCCCCCCCCTCCCCAGCACTCTCCACCCGGAGGCCGGGATCCTCTGGGGCGGCGGAGGGGACGGTTTTGGTGCCCTTTCCGCTGCTTCCAGCCTTTCCTCTGCGCCTCCCGGGCAGCCTAAGTGGCTCCAGGGCTCCTTTGCCAATAAGTGGGCACGGGGGGGGGCACCTGTCCTTCCGTGACTCCCCCCAAGGGGTTGGCGGTGCAAAGGGTCCAATATCTGAAGCCTAAGGGGGGGGGAGGAGGAGGAGCATTTGGGGACCTCCGTTGTCCCCTGGATGTCAGCCTGGGACTCCAGGAGCCTCTTCTGCATCCAGCTGGTACATCCGGCCGTTTTCACCGTTTTCCTTCCCTTTAAGCCTGAATGACAAATGGAGATTATTTTGCTACCCTCTGCTCTGTGGGGTTGTTTAGTGGTTTGGGACGTCCTTTAGCGCTGTACGTTTTGAATGAGGGATTTTAAATTGACTACTAACAAATCCTTTTAACTGCCTTATCTTGAAGTGGTTCAGCTGGTATTTCTCAACTACAACTTTGTTGTTAGCCGTATTTTCTAAGCCTACTTCACTGTTCAACAGGGATCCAACCTTTGTACCTATCATTGATTTTCTGCAGGCGTCTTTTCTACAGTATATTTAGATTCGACCTCTCTTGCTGCTGTTCCCTGTTGGGTTTTGCTTTCTGCCTCCCTTTTAGTGGACAGCTGTTTCTCTTTGCTTTCTTTATTTCATATTTTTGTTTGCCTCATCTTAACAGCATCATGAATTTCGGGCATGAGAACTTTAGGCGCTCTTTATCAAATCTAATCTATTAAACCTTTATCCTTGCTGTGTAATCTAATGGAATATTGTTTTGGGAGGCTGGGACTATCTTATCTGAGCTGCGGTACCAGCTCCTGATTTTGTTGACTTAGCAATTTATCCTCTTTGTTGGTGGAGTATATTTGAAGTTATCTATCTGTTGATATCCACGTGCAGAATCTTCTTTTAGGTTGTTGCAAGAAAATATTTGTGATAAATGTTGAATTTCCTTGACATTAGCCGACTTTGTTGTTTCAAACATAAGATCTAATTTTCCTGCTATTTCATATCCTTTTATTTCCAACTGCTGTAATTAGGGTGGTGGCTTTTTGGGGTGCTGTCAGGTTGACAAGCGGCTGTGGGTTCTGTTCTTGGGGCAGAGGGAAGGGATCCTTTCTGTCAGTTTGCACCTGGGCTTCCTTGCTGAAGGGAGGGCGCCGTGGTGCAGAACCTCCTCCCGCCTCCACAGGAAATTCCTTCACAGACTCCCTCAAGTCTCTGCATGAAGCCTCTTAACCAGGCTTCTGAGAAGACCCTCCTCTCCCCCGACTTCCAAGCCCAAACTGGTGAGAAAATGGCTTTTCCAGGGGGGGGGGGAAGGTGGGGAGTAAATGCAGCTGAGTTTAGGTCCTCTCCCAAACAAGGAGGGGGTGTGCAGTGTTGGGACCACCCAGTTTCCCTCTGGGTTACTCAACAGGTTGAAGAATAAAGGAGCAGAAGCTGCTCTTGCCCGTGCAGGAGTGTGCGAAGGATGTGTCAGAAGGAGGGCAAAGCAAGTGTGGGCTTGCGCCTTATAGAGCGATAGGATGCTGCAATTCTTCTCCAGGATTTTTACAAATAATGTTACAAGCTTCCGTGCTTTTCTTTCTGCTGCCCACTGAAAGACTCTTTCAAAGAAGAAGAAGAAGTAGGTCGGTACCTGTGTTTCTCATCAGCACACGATGGGGGGTTTCCAGTCTAATTCTATCTAATTGAAAATCTCCTGGAGAACTGTGGCCCCCCCTGGGCTGCCTCGTTCTTCCATTGCTGCGAAGTGTTAATTGCCCTCGATTTTTGGCAGTCAAAGAATGGGGGACCTTTGCCAGAGTCTCAGCATAAGGAGGGTTTTCCATGGGGGAGTTTTCATCCTTTGCTAAGAATGCCCCATAGCCCCATAGTCAGCCAAGAGGTGTGGGTCCTCCCCCCCTTGTAAAGGGCAACTTTTCTGCCAACCTCTTGTTGGCAGAACCTCGGGTGGCACCCCTTCCCTCGGCCTCTGCTCATGGATTGCTTGCCAGGGACTTAGCCCTGGCTCTTGAAACAAGAGGACTTTCAAAGGGAGCATGTGATGCTTGTTGGAACAAGATTTGGGTGTGCTTGTGCAGGGGATCTTGGGGAAAGCGGCACTACAATTCTTCATTGTTTTAGGCAGGGGTCAAAGTTCGGCTGGGCTGGCTGATGGGCGTTTGAAGGAGAGGACCTGGAGGTATTTTAGGCCAAGTCCCAAGATGAGATAAGGGCGATGAAGGCAGAACAGGGCATGGCTGATTCACTTGGATCTCACTGGGAACATATACATTGGCCACAGCACAGTGCAGGAAGGGGCACATTCTGACTTCTTCTGCATCCAACAATGGGGGCTGATACTTTGCTGGCAATATGTGGCCTGTGGCTGCTGGCTGGGTGAGAGGCGCAGCTGCCCTTGAGCTGCTTGAAGCGAAGAGGCTGCTCTGAGAAGAGTCGTTCATTGGGACGGTGGATCTTTGAACTGTGAAGTTTAATAAGATTTGTATGCCGCCCACTCCCATGGGACTCTGGGCGGATGAGCAATTGGACAGCTGGCTTCCGGAGTCCAAATGGAAAGGAGGAGAGCCGTTGCCGTTTTGGGGGCTGGGCCTTGCTTGACCCTTTGTGCCCTAAGGAAATCCATTTTCCAGCAACGCAGTTTTGTTAATCAGAAGGAAGTAAGATGGGGAACCCTTGAAATGGGCTCTGTCTAGAACTAGAGGGCCAACTGGCTGTGTACGATGTGCTCCCGGCCTCTCTGTCACCTTCCCTGGCCGCCTCCTTGTTTTTGTTGTCCAAGAAAGCCAAAACCGGCTGAGCCCCCCCCCCCCCCAGGGCCCTCCGAGCTTTCCTTCCAGACGAGGGAGCTGAGCCCTGCTTGCATCCGGGGGGGGGGGGCATTGCTCCCTTAATCTCCCAAATGGGAACGAGCCTCCTCACAGATGCTCGAGGGGACCAAGTAGGTAAGGTTGTAGAAACACCTTTGCCTAGAATCCCAGCTTGATTTGTCTGCCCGGATCCCCCTTTTTCCCTCTGGGAGGACAGGAGCATCGCTCGCCCTTCTCCCATCCTTGGCCGCTGTGGTCACAGAAAGGCAGCCAGCAAAGCAGGCGGGGGCGGGGGGAGGCTCCTCTTTAGCCAGGCCCCTAAAGTCTGGGGAAAGAGCCATAAGGGCCTTCCTAAGTTACTTCCTAACAATTAGCTTCTTGCTAAGGTACCTCCTTGGTGAGGCTATAAAGAAAGATGTGGAGACACATCTGGAAAGAGTGCAGAGAAGAGCAACAAAGAGGATTAGGGGGCTGGAGGCCAAAACATAGGAAGAACGGCCGTCTGGTGAAAAGAAGGACCAGGAGAGACAGGATAGCAGCCTTCTAATATTTGAGGGGCTGCCACAAAGAAGAAGGAATCAACCTATTCTCCAGGGCACCTGAGGGCAGAACAAGAAGCAATGGGTGGAAACTAATCAAGGAGAGAAGCAACCTGGAACTGAGGAGAATTTTCCTGACAGAACAATTAACCAGTGGAACAGCTTGCCACCAGAAGCTCCGGCACTGGAGGTTTTTAAGGAGAGATGGGACATCCACTTGTCTGGAATGGGGCAGGGCAGGGGGGTCAAACTGGATTTCTTCAAGGGCCGGATCAGCGTTGTAGTTGATTGGGGGCCAGAGAGGGGGACCGGTGGGGAGACGAGGTGGCTGCCTCCTGCAGCACCCTGCTGGCCAAAAGAGGCCGCGTGCAGCCCGTTTTGGGCCCCATTTTGACCTGTTTTTGGGCCCGTTTCCGCCCAGCAGAGGCTGCAGGAGGGCATGGAGTCTGAAAACGAGGTGCAGTAGCCGCCGGAGGGTTACATCCTTTGATAAATCCAGCTCTGTGGGCCGGATTTAAGCACC